CAAACTGCCCTGTACCCCTACCCCCCACGATTTCTGAGGGGGAGGGTGGGGTTCACTTTGCTCGGGAGCTCCCGAGCGAAGTGACCCCCCCCCCCTCGGAAGTCGTGGGGGGTAGGGGTCGGGTTCGCATGGGGCCCCCTGGTTGATGCTCGTGCCGCCCCGCGCTGCTCCCGTCAGGGCATGACGGAGGCCGAGGCCATGTCGGCCCCGCAGCACAAGAAGAAGAAGGCCGCGAACGGCTGCGCGGTCCTCGAGCGGTGCACCTCCTTCGTCGAGTGCGAGGTCCGGTCCCTGGCGTCCGCCGGCACCTCCTCCATCATCTACGCGGCGGTCATGGGGAAGCCACATGTACCGATGCTGCTCCCCGGCCTCTCCCAGGGTGCGTTCTGGCAAGGATTTCGAGGCGGATCGAGCAGAGGCGACGAGGTACGAGGGCCTCCAGGGAGGCCCAGAAGGGCAGGAACGCGGCAGGGCTAGCAGGGTCGGTACCTCGTCTTCCTCTGAGGTCACGGATGGAGACCTCGTGGAAGAGGGCCTGCGGACGGAGCTCGTCGGCGCCAACCACGCGGCCGTCGACCATGCGGCGCAGGACTCCGCGGCGGCGCAGAATGAGGAGCTCGTGTCCGCGTAGGGCTGGCGCCCGGGCGCCAGTGGGCGGAGCGTCACCAGCACAGCCCGAGGATTTAGGGCTACGCTGGGGGGGGACAGGCTCAAGGGGGTAATGCAGCGGCCCCCCATCGCCTACTGATCGCGATGGGGGCCTGATGGCCCACCCCAGCCAGGAACGTGCGGATTTGCTATCGGGGGGCCATCGCCGATCCGCCGCCGAGGCATCGCCGATGCCAGGTGCGTCTTGATGCTTCCCCTCTGAGCTGGCCCCCCTCCCCCTCTGCTGCCCCTCGGGGGAGTCCCCCGGCACGCGGCCATTTTTCCGAGCGTGCTGGCCGCCCGGCCTGGAAGCAGAAACGTCGGCACGGCAGGTCCGCGTCGTGCCGCCTGGCGGCGACCCCGCCAGCGGCGTTCAGCGTTGAACGCCGCGGGCGACCCGGAGTCGTTCGCTGTGGAGGGATCTGGACGTTTCGGAGACGGCCGATCGCGTTCCAGGTGGAAGGATCCCCGCGGTGTCAGACACCCACGCCGAAGTCGACGCGACACGAGCCTGACGTACACACACCATGAATTGTCGGAGCTCCGCGCGGATTTGTTGGATTTGCGCTGGGGCCCCCTTGGCGGCCCCTCCGGCGCCGCCCCCGGCCCGCTCCGCGCGCCAGGGATTCGGGAGCCTTGAGACGGGATCAATGCAAACGGGGGTCAGCCACGGCACCGGATCCTGCAGGATCCTGCGAAGATCCTCTCTGGCTGACCAGGGTTAGCGAGCCGCTCGTGGCCGCGAGGCGGCCGCACATATTGGCTGACCCGGGTTCGCGAAGACCTGCGTTGCAGTTTTTTTTCCTGCATTGCAGTTTTTGGTTTCCTGCTGACCCGGGTCTGGATTGACCTGTGTGAGAAGATCCCCGAGGGATGGGGTCCAGCGCTGACGGCGGAAATCCGCGCGGGCCTCCGACACTTTCTGCTTGCGCTGTTTTCCCTTCCTCCAGCACCGTCTTCGGCATCGCTGCAGCGGACGCGCTGCGCGGATTCCCCAGCTTTCGCTGCGGAGGAGGAGGGAGGGAGGAGGAGGAGGAGGAAAAAGGAGGAGGAGGAGGAGGAGGAGGAGGAGGATGAGAGGAGGAGGAGGAGGAGGAGGAGAGGAGGAGGGAGGAGGAGGAGGAGGGGGAGAGGAGGAGGAGGAGTAGGAGGAGGAGGAGGAGGAGGAGGAGGAGGGAGGGTCGATCCCGCTCTCGGTGGAGGAGGCACTGGTTCATCGGGCTTCCCAGGTGGCCGAAGCACGACCACCAACAACGTACTAGGATCGTCTTCCAGGGGAAGGAACCATGACGTAAACATAAAAACTCGGAGGTCCGCGCGGATTTCTTGGATCCGCGCTGGACCCCCCTCTGGCGCGCGGAGCGCACCAGGGGCGGCGCCAGAGGCGCCACCAGGTGGGTCCGGCGCGCCTATCTCATGTTTGCGCTTATGTCATTGTTTATGTTTTTTAATGCTCATGTTTATGCTTGTATGTTCATGTTTTATGTTGATGGAATTGTCAATGCTTTTATGCTCGTGAGTAGGTTTATGTCTACGCTCATGTTTAAGGACCTCCGAACTTTTGTGCTCATGCCATTGTTTCTTCCCCTATCTCCCCCCAGAACGGAGGGGTTACCCCGTGCTATTGCCGGTGCCCACTTTCTGTCCGCCTCCCGCTCCTCGGCCGCCGTGCCGCCGAGCTTTCTCTGCGTATGCCCGTTATCGTCCGCGGTGGGCCCGGGGCCTAGAGTGTTCGAGGAAGAAGAGACGTTATAAACATATACTTTCGGCGCTCCGCGCGGCTTTCTTGGGCCCGCGCCGGGGCCCCTCGGCGCTTCGCGGGCCAGGGAGGGGGGCACAGCGCGGATCCAAGAATCCGCGCGGAGCGCCAAAAGTTTACGTTTGTGTTTTTTTTCTTTCTCTGAGTGTGTAGAGTTAGGTCGGGCGTGTCCCTCTACAGGAGGAATATTCAAAACTAGATAAGAAATCGTCCAGGGACCATTCTTGCGATCCTTTTCGCATCTTTTTGAGCATGTTTCGAACATTTTTCATTTTTCGTTCAAAATCCCCCCGTAGGAGGACACGCCCGACCTGAGTGTAGAGGCCTGATGAGGCCTGCCGTGCAGGGCATGCTGCGGCAATTTTTCCAGGGGACTGAATTCTTGGCGCGCGTTTTTCTCGGGAGCCGCTGATCGAGGATCGGCCTCCCCAAGTTTTACTTAGCTGAACGAACACTGACATCAACATAATAACTCGGAGGTCCGCGCGGATTTCCTGGATCGGTGCTGGTGCCCCCCAGCGGCGCCTCTGGCGCCGCTCCTGGTGCGCTCCGCGCGCCAGAGGGGGGTCCAGCGCGGATCCAAGAAATCCGCGCGGACCTCCGAGTTTTTATGTTTACGTAATTTTTCGTTCCCCTTCTTACCTGCCTCTCTCTCCACGCATGCTACGCTGGCGGCTTGTCCGCAGGCCGGCGATCAGCAGAGCCACCCGGCAGCGCGACAGGCTCCTCGTCGTCGTCGTCGTCGTCGTCGTCGTCGCCCTCTTCCTCTCCCATTTCCGTGTCGCATGCTCCTCCTCCGTCTTTTCCCCCCTCGCCTCCTCCTCCTCCTCCTCCCCCTCCCCCTCCTCCTCCTCCTCCTCCTCCTCCTCCTCCTCCTCCTCCTTTAGGTATCCTATCGTGGGAACCTCCTCTACCCCAATTGGCGTGGCTTTTTGGAAGTTAGTGTCGCGTTAGTGTCGGGCTAGTGTCTTCGTGTGCTCCTCCTCCTCCTCCTCCTCCTCCTACTCCTCCTTCTAGGAGGAGGAGGAGGCTCCTCCTCCTCCTCCTCCTCCTCCTCCTCCTCCTCCTCCTCCTCCTCCTCCCTGTGTTCACAACATTTTCCCATCGCCTCCTTCCTCGTCCTCGTCGTCGTGGTCGTCGTCGTCATCATCGTCGTGCTCCTTGTTCTCGGCATCATCCTCATTTTCCTCCGCATCCTCGTCGTCGTCGTTGTCCTCCTCCTCCTCCTCCTTTTCTTCGTGGTTCTTCTTGCCCCATCCTCTATCTTGGAATGCACACCGACAAGGTGCATCGACGTTCTAGAAAGGCTGCCGACCATGACCATATGGAAACTCGCAGACTTCGACTAGCTTCAGACTTCAGGATTAGAACTTCTAGCGCTATACACTGCCTGGCTGGTAATCCGACTTTCTGGGGAATGGATGCCGTGACCAGCATCATCCGCGAGGCGGACATTAACTTCTTTGAAAATTGAAGCCGTGGACTGCATCATCCGCGAGGCGAGCATGGCAGTCCGCCGTTCCACGACGCATTCTCGTGGCCTCTCGGGTCTCCTCAAGTCACCCTCCCTGAAGGCGCTTCAGCAGCAGGAGAAGAGCACCCCGCTGTGGCAGTTATGACAGCAGCTCTGGGAGAGATTGCGACTCTTTTGACTTCTACGCCACCAGAAGGCTCTCATGGAGGTATCCTTGTCCGAGCGACGCGAGACAAGATTCGCAAAAACGCGCGCGCAAGATATTTTTGAAAATCCGTGTTGCGAAACCACGTTTTTGTAAATCTGTTTGCTGGACACTCAGTTTTGAAATCGGCACGAAACCAAAGGTTTTTGAGATTTCGGCATTCGCGCGCGACGACGCGCGCGTGTGCGCATCGTCCCGTTTTTTGCCCATGTAAATGAATGTGCGCGCATAGTTTTTTTCCATGGGGTGGCGTGGGGGGGATACCGGCCCCCCTTGCATGGTATGAATTCATATTTAGGATGGACGATGGGGCAGAGTCATATGTAAATTGTACATCCCCACGGGGTGGTGGTCAGTCTGGCCTCGGGAGGGTGGTGGAGTCTATTCTATTTTGAGACAGGAGGATATCTGTTATGCAATCCATGTTGTGCTATCTATTTGGTGCAATCTATGCTGTGCATCCTGTGTTGTGCAAAATAGGTCGTGCAATCTATGCGGTGCGTGCAATCTAGGTGGTGCAGTAGTTGTAGTGCATGCAGTCTAGGTGGTGCAATCGATGTGGTGCAACCCGTGTGATGCAACTAATTTCTGTTCGCAGTGAGTTGTCAAATCCACTGCTCGCGCAATCATCCCACCCACCCACCCGCAACGCTGTTTGCAACACGCATGTGGTGGCGATTGCGATGAGTGCTTGGAGTTGGCTGGTCCATCTCTGCGGCCGCGCCAGCCCAAGCACGCGCGCGCAGCGGCCAGATAGTTTGGCGGGACCGACGCGGCCGCGGTGGCGCTGACCGCTGGGCACATCCCAGCGGGCACTTCAGTGCAAGTCGGCGGCTTCGGCGGGTGCGGTATCATGGCGCTGTCGACGTCGGTAGACACGATGATGATAGTTGCGATGGTGGTGACGATGTTGGAAACCACGACGGCGCGGTCAGTGCGGGCGCCGATGTTGATCACGCCGACGACGATGACGGCGTCTTCGCGTCGGTCATGGAAATTTTGGAAGGAGTTCGACGTGGGCGCGCGGCAGACGCGCGAGAGTGGCCCGCATGGTTTTCTTTTGACACGGATCCTGCCCGCCCCAGCACGGGCACAAGGGCGTGTGAATGATTGCGGCATGCGGCGCGAAGCTGCTAGAAGGTATCCCGAGAGTGGAAAGCCTCCAGGAACGCACGGAAACGCATGAATTACTGAATTCTTCCAGCGTTCGAACCTCGGTGCTCTGGGCACGAGGGTGTGCTTGTGTTTGCCCGATGTGCGTAACAAGCAACGCCAGGGTCCCAGTGGCGTAGCGTACACTCGACCCGCAGAGTAAGGATAGGCATCCCTCCCAAGGGTACCCTTGCATCCTTGCTTCCTGGGTTCATCCTTGGACACTTTCGTTGGCCGCGCCCCGCTCGAAACGCTTCGAAATGGGCGTCCAAGGCCCTTGCACCCTTATCGCGCATCCTTACTCTGCGGGTTGACTGTATTCGTGTTTGCTCGATGTGCGTAAGAAGCAACGCCAGGGTCCCAGGGGCGTAGCGCAGCATTGGTCTTGATCGGGCAGGTCAGCGTGACCTACGAGCCCTCGCCTCGGATCCCCCCCCCGCCGCGCGCAGGACCTGGCCGTGTGCCATCCGCCCAGGTGGGCGGGCCTGCCGCCGCGGCGCCGACCGCGGAACCCCGCGCTTTGAGGCTGGCACGCTGCAGGCGGCGCGGGGGGCCGCCGACGTTGCCGTCGGAATCCGCTCTCAGGCCGACATGCTGCCATGAAGCGAGCGGGTCTTGATGAACAGTGGGGGAGAAAGGTACCGATACCGCTGCCGCTGCCTGGATTTCGCCCTGTTTGACCTCCTGGGGGGCCTCTGTCGCCGCGGCTGGATTCGCCCCGATCTTTTGCTCTGAGCGCACCCTGGGGAAAGGTTTGGCGAGCATCCGTCTCTTTTGGGCTTCCCAGAGGAATCGGGTCTTGCATGTTTCTCGCCACGGGCCGCCGCCGCGCCCAAGGCCGTCAGCAGAGCGACTCGGGGTGAACACCTGGTCTTCGGGGGGGCTCAGGGGTCCAGGGCCCCTGGCCCTCATGGCCCGCTTCCCTCCTTGGCATCGCTCGGACGTGTGAATTTTTCCTTCGGCGAGGACCATCGAGGAGCATCCTTGATCATTTCGCGAAAAAACTACACACGAAACCGAACAAATCACAGGAATTGGACGTCCGAACGATGGCCAGCTTCGTGCCAGACGCGGCTGCGGGATGTCGGCTGCACGCCGCGAGTGGCCCCGCGCCAGAACTCGGGGCACACAGCATGGCACAGACATGACCTTTCGGAGGCCCACGCGGACTTCATGGATCGGCGCCAGATCCCCCTCTCTGGCCCGCGGAGCGCGCCAGGGTGGCGCCGGAGGCGCCGGCAACGGGGGGCCCCGCGCCGATCCGAGCAAGCCGTGCGGACTTCCGAACGTTTGGGTGCGTGCCAAGTGTTTGTTGCCCCGAAGCGCGGCCTTTCGTGCGCGGCTCTCGAGGGTCGTGGGTCCTCTCGTCTCTCCTCGTCCCGGAGGGCCCGCGCGGAGGGGGCGCCCCGCGCGGGCGCCGCGCCCAGCGGCCGTGCACCGACCGTCCGGGCGAGAGTTGGCCGCGGGCGAAAGCTGGCGGCGCGCGGGCGACGACGATGGGGTCGATTCTGTTACAGATTGTGTTGCCGCTGGTGAGGGTGATGGCGATGACGGGGATAACGAGGATGACGAGGATGGTGACGACGGTGACGAGGCGTTGGTGCGGAGGATGCAGGTTGATGATGATGATGCTGCTGATGATGCTGATGATGCTGATGATGATGCCGATGCTGATGATGCTGCTGCTGATGATGATGACGGTGATGATGCTGATGATTATTATGATGATGTTGCTGATAATGACGATGATTCTGCTGCTGATGATAATTATGTTGATGCTAATAATGATGATGAATCTGATTATGATGATGATGCTGATGATTATAGTGATGCTGATGCTGATGATGATGCTTATGATGATGATCATCATGCTGATGCTGATGCTGATGATGCTGCTGCTGATGATGACGATGATGATGTTGCAGGGGCATGATGATGCTGCTGATGATGCTGTTGAATATGATGATGATGACGATGATGATGATGCTGATGATGATTCTGATGGTGCTGATGATGATTCTGATGATTATGCTGCTGCTGATGATGCTGCTACTGGTTATCATTATGATGCTGCTGCTGATAATGACGATGCTGATGCTGATCTTATTGCTGATGATGCTGATGATGCTACTTGTGATGACGATGATGATGCTGATGATGATGCTGATGCTGGTTGATTATGATGATGATACTGAGGATCACGCTGATGCCGATGATTACGACGATGATGCTGATGATGCTGATGATGCTGATGATGCTGATTATGGTGATGATGATGCTGCTCATGATGCTGATGATTATCGTGATGGTGATGATGATGATGATGATGATGATGATGATGATGGTGATCATGATGGTGATCATGATGATGATGATGATGAGGATGCTCATGATTATGATGCTGACGCTGATTATGATGATGCTGCTGCTGATGATTGTGATTAGGATGATGATGACGATGATGATGATGAGTTTGATGATGATGCTGATGATGCTGATGGTGATGATGATTATGATGCTGATTATAACGATGATTATGATTATGATGATGATTATGATGATGCTGATGATGATGATGCTGATGGTGATGATGATGATGATGATGTTGATGATGATGCTGATGAGTATGATGATTATGATGATTCTGATGATGACGATGATGATGATTATTATGATAATGCTGATGCTGATGATGCTGATGCTGCTGATGATGATGCTGATGCTGATGCTGATGATGATGATGATGAGGATGCTGCTGCTGATGATGATGATGCTGATGATGTTGATGATGCTAATGCTGCTGATGATAATGATGCTGATGATGATGACGACGATGATGATGATGATGATGCTGGTGATGGGGATGATGCTGTTGATTATGATGCTCATGAATATGATGATGATGCTGATGATGATGTTGATGATGATGATGCTGCTGATGATGATGCTGATGATGATGATGCTTATGATGATGCTGATGATGATGATGATGATGATGATGATGATGCTGATGCTGATGCTGATGCTGATGATGATGCTGGCTATGACGATGATGATGATGATGCTGATGCTGAGGATGATGCTGATGATGATGATGACAATGTTGCTGCTTATGATTCTGATGACGATCATGGTGATGATGACGATGATGATGATGCTGATGATGATGATGATGATGATGATGATGATGATATGATGAAGATGATGATGCTGATGAGGATGATGATGATGCTGATGATGATGATGAGGATGATGCTGATGCTGTTGATGATGATGACGATGCTGCTGCTGATGATGATGATGATGATGCTGACGATGCTGATGTTTCTGCTGCTGATTATGATGATGCTGATGGTGGTGGTGGTGGTGATGCTGATGATGATGCTGATGATGATGCTGCAGATGATTATGATGATGATGACGATGACGATGGTGATGATGATGATGCTGATGTTGATGATGATGCTGATGATGATGCTGATGATGATGATGATGATGATGCTGATGATGATGATGATGATGATGATGATGATGATGATGATGATGATGATGATGCTGATGCGGCTGATGACGCTGATGATGACGGTGATGCGGCGACGGTACTAACTAATGATCATACGGACCCCTACGTACTAGAAGCTGGTGTGGATGCTGCTGTCAACAATGACTCGGGCGACGATGACGAGGGTGTTGGTGATGCCGACGATGCTTCTGATCATGACGACGGTGGTGAGGCTGACGAGGTGGATGGTAAATTGCGTATGCGAATGAGGGGAGGAGGTGGAGGAGAAGGGGGATGAGGAGGAGAATGAGGAGGAGAAGGAGGAGGAGAAGGAGGAGGATGAGGAGGCGGACAAGGAGGAGGAGGACGAGGAGGAAGAGGAGGAGGAGGAGGAGGAGGCGGAGGAGGAGGATGAGGAGGAGCAGGATGGTAGGATGAGCAGGATGATGAGGTGGAGGAGGAGGATGAGGATGAGGGTGGAGAGGATGGTGGGGTGGGGGGAGGAGGAGGAGGAGGAGAGTAAAAAGGGGAGGAGAGAGGGAGGAGGAGGAAGGCGGAGGATGAAGTGGAGGAGGAGAGGTGGAGGAGGAGGGGAGGAGGAGGAGGAGAAGGCGGAGGATGATGCGGCGGAGGAGGAGGAGGAGGAGGCGGAGGAGGAGGAGAGAGGAGGAGGAGGAGGAGGAGGAGTTGGATGATGAGGAGGAGGATGAGGATGGAAAGGAGGAGGATGATGAGGAGGATGGGAGGGAAGGGAGGGAGGGCGTAGGGAGGGAGCGAGGGAAGTATGGAGGAGGGCGGGAGGGAGGGAGGGAGGAGGGAGAGATGAGGAGGGGGAGGGAGGAGGAAAAGGGAGGAGGGGGGGAGGGAGACGGCGGGAGGCGGAGAGAGGAGGAGGGTGGAGGGCAGAGGGCGGAGGACGGAAACGGAGGGCGGAGGGCGAGGATGGAGGGCGGATCGTAGAGGGGGGAGGAGGCGGGAACAGCCAGGAGGATGGGGAGAGGGAGGATGGAGGACGATGAGGATGAGGATGAGGATGAAGATGTGGAGAGGAGGATGAGAGGAGGAGGAGGAGGAGGAGAGGAGGAGGAGGAGTAGGAGGAGGAGGAGGAGGAGGAGGAGGAAAAGGAGGGGGGAGGAGGAGAGGAGGAGGAGGAGGGAGGGGAGGAGGAGGGAGAGGAGGAGGAGGGAGGGGAGGAGAGAAGGCGGACGAGGAGGAGGAGGAGGAGGAGGAGGAGGAGGAGGCCCGTAGCCATTTTGGCTCAAGCCCTGGCTCAAGCAATTTCCCTCTCGCTCGAGAGGGGGGAGGGCTCGAGTGGCACAGCGCCTTCCAGCATCCCCCTGCACTCCATGCCTGGGCCAAAGCAGGGCCGCAGGGGGATCACACACACTACCTCCTTGTTATTCTTTTACCCGATGGGGGGCCGTGGAAAAGACGGGCGGAAAGGGCGGCCAGGCCCAGGGAGGCCAGGGCAACGGCAAGGGCAAGGGCTAGACCACTGCCAAGTCCCAGGCGCCGCCGCCGCCGCCGCAGGAGGTGCAGTCTTTCTCATGGGTGTGCGATTATTGTTCAGCCAGTGTCTCTTCGCCACCAGTGGTGTTGGCAGTGCGGCAGACACTGGGGTTTTCACCACCAGCAGAAACTGGTCGTCCAGAAGTGGCGGCGCCAGGAGCGAAGGCTAACAAGAACACCGATGAAGAGAAGATGGGCCCGCGGATCCTCAATCTGCAGCAGTTTGAACTGGATGGGGTCGAAGGCAGAGGGTCGGGACGAGGCCCGAATGGTTCAGGCGTTGACGGCTTCGGAGGGAGTTCCGACTCGACCGCGATGCTGAAAGAACCGAGAGCCAGATGACGCAGGCCATCTACACTATGACACAACGCCCAGCAGCAGCTTGAGCAGCAGACTGGGTTCATTGAGAAGCAGCAGCATACCCTCGACGACCTCGAGGTGAAGCGCGCGCTGCTCGTTGCTGACATCGAGGCGGCCGAGATTACTAATTCAATCTGTTGAGGGAGCAGCAGTTGGCCCTCCAGGGTCCCTACATGTCGCAGCTGCCTCCCAGCTTGACTCTACCAGCAGGCAAAGGGGCTGCGATCTTGG